AGATAATCCATCAATGTCCACTCGACCCCGGCCTCTTAAAGTTGTGCTGACCAGCAGCGACCAAGCCAGTCTCATTTACTCCAGGCGATTCAAGATTAAAGGCTCCAACCCCGGTGTTTTTTTTCAACCGGACTACTCGCCAGCCGAACGGCTCAAGCGTCGTCAGCTGGTTCTAGAACTAAGAAAGAGGCTCAGCGAGGGGGAGAACAATTTAGTAATATACAACAACCAAGTTCGGCGGCGTCCGTCACTCTTCCTTTGGACAGGTCCTGTCCGAATGACCGCGCAGCCGACATATTAAGTGAAGGCGCTAACCCAAATGTAACCACATCTTCCGTCAGCCGGAAGTTGAAATTCTTGTACACCAACGTGCAGAGTTTGATATCAAAGTTCGACGAGCTGAAGATCCACCTCTGCGACCTATCCCCTGACGTAATCTCTCTAACAGAAACCTGGTTGACCCAACACGTGGACGACCGTGAGCTGGCCTTGCCTGGCTACCAGATGTTTAGAAGGGATAGGGAAGGGCGTCAGGGAGGAGGCGTACTAACGTATGTAAAAAATGGGCTAAATGTATCAGACAAGACCGATAACTTTTCGTGCAGTTACGAGGCAATCTGGTTGTCTATTAAAGTGCCGAGCTCGCCTAGCCTCGATGTCCTGACAGTTTATCGACCGCCGAGACGGGACAACATGGCCGACGCTCGCCTGCTGGAGGAGCTCGAAAAGTTCGCTACGCGGCCGGATATCCTAATCATGGGTGACTTTAACGCGCCCCATATTGACTGGAGCTCAACCCATGTAAATAGCTCAGAACAGACCTTCGATAGGAGTTTTCTGAACACGACATTGAAGCTATTTCTCACTCAACACGTCATGTTACCAACTAGAGTACGCGAAGGCCAACAAGCCAACTGCCTTGATCTTGTCCTTACGAAGTCACAGGACAGCATTGATGAGGTGTCATGCCTACCCCCCTTAGGTAAAAGTGACCACGTCGTTCTTGTATGGGATTACTCGCTTTTTTCCATGTCCAAGAAACCCGGGACAGTTAGAAGAAACCTTTGGCGCGGGGATTTCGACCAAATGAGGGCTGAAATTTTACGCATTGAGTGGGAGTCCATATCTGTTGGGAGCATACTCGAAGACTGGCAACGGTTCCGAGAAATTCTGCACGAGCTGATCGTAAACCACTGTCCGCTTTCACGGAAAAGGTTAACTAACAGACCTCGATGGCTTACGCAAGCCTTGAAGAATGAAGTGGATAAAAAACGACGGCTGTGGAAAAAATCGCTTTCTGACAGGAGCCCAACATCTATATGCGCGTACAAAATTCAAAGAAATCGAGTCAAGGGTCTTATTCTCAAAACTAGAAAGGAATTCGAACGGGATCTGCTTAACCGTGCCGCGGAGAACCCTAAATTATTCTACGGTTACATTAGGCAGTGCACGCGGAACAAGGACCCAATACCCCTGCTAAGGACTGCTGAAGGCGAGCATCTCACTGACGACAGGGCGAAAGCTGATCACCTTTCAGCATTTTTTCGGTCTGTTTTTAGTAGCGAAACAGGATTCAACCCTTCGGCCCTTCAATCCTTCGAAGACACCCCAATTATAGAGACCGTCCAGTTCACTGAGGGTATGGTTCTGACGGAGTTGCTGAGGCTAAAGGAATCCAAATCACCAGGTCCCGATGAGATTCCGGCGAAGATTTTGAAGGAACTCGCCGGTGAGTTGTCTAAGCCACTCTCCATGCTTTTCCATACATCCTTCGAGACCGGATATCTGCCACCCGACTGGAAGTCGGCGTGGATTACGCCGCTGCACAAGGGCGGAAGTCGGGTCTCTGCGAACAATTACAGACCGGTCAGCCTCACCTCCATTTGCTGTAAGATTATGGAGAAGATAATAAAGCAACAACTAATGCAGTTCCTTGAACAAAACCATTTGCTTTCCGATTCTCAGCATGGATTCCGAAAAGGCAGATCCTGTGTGACAAACCTGCTCTACTGTCTGGAACACTGGACTAGGGCTGTTGATAGAGGAGATATGGTGCATGCCACCTATATCGACTTTAAAAAGGCCTTCGATAGTGTGCCTCACCACCGCCTTCTATACAAACTTAGCCGTGCAGGAGTGCGGGGTAAGCTTCTGAAGTGGATTCGGAGCTTTTTAATCGGCCGCTCTCAAGCCGTCCACGTCGGTGACCAACAATCTACCGAGGTTGCCGTTAAGAGTGGTGTTCCCCAAGGCTCCGTTCTTGGCCCTACGCTGTTCCTCGTATACGTCAATGACTGCGCAAACGAACTGAATTGCGATGTTGCAATGTTTGCCGATGACATAAAGATTTGGAGTACCATACGAAGCGAATTTGACGAGGCGCGACTGCAGACAAGTCTGGACCACCTCGAGCAATGGTCGAAAGACTGGCTTCTACCGTTCAACGAGGTCTTTCAAACTTTTGTGCGACCGCATCTGGAATTTGCTATCCAAGCATGGCGACCCTGGACCGCTAAAGACTTGGGCATACTCGAAAAAGTTTAACGGCGAGCAACAAAACTTGTCTCTGGGCAGTGGTCACTACCCTACGAAACGCGATTAGCTAATCTTGACCTCTTTCCTTTGAGTTACAGACAGCTACGTGGGGACCTGATACAAGCTTTCCGCATCGTGCGCAATCAGGGCTGCTGCCTCGCGTTTGGAGACTTCTTCGAGCTGGCGACTACGACTAACCTGAGAGGCCATCCACTCAAACTGCGTGTGGCTGGCGCCCGGCTAGACACCCGAAAGTTCTTCTTCTCCAACAGAGTGGTTGCAGCTTGGAATGCCTTGCCTGAGGATGTTGTTATGTCAGGCTCGGTAGATACTTTTAAATGGAGACTAGATCAGCATTGTAGCGTGCACCACAATAACACCGGACTACGGCCACCTTGACAGCCAACGCTGTCAATTTAGTGTTATAACGATGCTACTACCAACATTTAAGTAATATATGTTTATGTTATTTATTAAGCTTGGGCCACCTCGCGCACCGCTGTTCGCATTCACCACGATGCCTGTAGACTAAACAATTTTACCTCTTTTTCCCGTGTCTTAAGTGTGCCTCAACTGTCCGCTGTATTTTGACCAACAAAGCAAGTTAATGTGCCTCTAAACTCTGTTAAAGCATGACATTCTGTGTTCATCTGTAAAGTTTTTGCTATTCCCCTCGCATTTCTTTCATGTTACTTCCTTTCCATTTCCTCCATATATATCCTCTGCATGTAACCAATAGGGATTTCAAAGGTACACACCTACTTTCCCTGAAATATACTGATACTGATACTGATCGTTTCGACACGTCTTTGCTGAAAATAATCATCTACTAACCACAGCGGTTAGAAACTCAAAGTTTTGGCGCATGCAAAAAACTGAATAGTAAAGCACTACTTATGCAAGAATAACGAGCGGTGGTCAGAGTCATTCATGCGTCCAGTGGAAAAAGAGACTCAGAACGCAAATGCCCTATTATACATTGGGAACACCCATATGACAGTACGACCGCAGTTTCCGACGATGTCCGTACTGTGCCCCACAGCACGATGGACGCAGTTCGATGACTCGCGCATGAATTAATTTAAAATGGTGGTAAACTTGCGCTGCATCTATCACACTTTCTTCCGCTGAATCACCCAGACGCGATGTCAAGACAGAGTCAAGAAGACCGGGGACGGGGTCGGATGGAGATGGCTGGTGTAGCTTTGGCCTGTGCCTAGACTTTCCGTCACACCCCACGCGCGCAACGTTGCAATGGGTTCGCAGCCCAGTAACGCATACCGGATCCTGATCTGGCCCCGTGCTGGCCCAGCCGACTGATAAAGACTGACTTATACTAATTAAATACTAATTAACAAAACTGCAAGTTTGTTATGCATTTTTACTAGTGTTAGTACGCTCCTTAGCTGTGTAAACAATCATAACAGTAAACGTTAAGCCACTTCCATAAGGGAATAAGACTTTTGCCACTAATCCCCTAATCGTACCCGAAAAGGCAATGGAATCATTTTCTACAGTAGTAATTTTGTAAGGTGCACATTCAAATGTATAACGTCAGTGTAAATATCAAGTCTTCGACTTAGTGTTAACTTTGTCTAGGTTGTGACCATTGGGAGCTTAAGATACAAATATCACAATATTATTACTTCGGGGACTGAAAAACCAGGCCAAACGGACTGGAACTAGCGTTTTGAGCGCAGTAGGCCAAGATATATGAATTTATAGAACCGATTCTATGGAGAGGTGCTTGGGCTCGGGATATACTGCCCTGGTTAAGAGTGCCAAGACAAATGGATTTTATCCCTCGACTGAGCACTGAATTGGCCGTGTTGAGCCACAGTTTTATTTGTGTCTAACCACACGGAAATCGGTTGCCTGCATTTCACAGCACCGGCTCATTTATGCGTTCCGACTGTTTATTAGAGTTGTTTGGATTGATACCGGAAAAATCAACATGGATTATAGGCTTAGTCCAAGTTCTTTGCTGAGGGCTAACTTAAACTGTATCCTATCTTATTAAAAAGTACACAGTGTTGAAAATTCGTTAAGAATTCCAACAGTATCACGTCTTATGGGGTAGAATGTTGGTTGTCGCAACTTATTTAAATTGAGGAGCCTAGGTGACATCTTCATCAGTTATAACGCTCTGGATCTGTTCAGAGCTAGCATACCCTCATTATGCGTGACTCCGAGTAAGAAAGTGAGACCATTTAAAGTCCCATGATCCAGACTGGTTAAAGACCGTATTTGTTGTGTAGTTCTGTCTACGAGCCATTAATGTCGCCGCGTTTAAATAACGATCTAGTCAAGCGTTTCCAAATGTCCTCTAGTTCATTTTGGTCGCCTGATAAATTTACGTCAAAGAAAAATGAACACTACAGAAGGGAAAAAACGTACATATTTACTGACACTCGCTTTGCCGCTTGAAGACAGCTGACATAAGGCCACTCTTTTACAGCGCATGTGTGTTAAGACTGAGTACTCTGCTGTAAACTTACTAGTACATATGCATAAATGCCTGCTAGCGCTGCTGACACTTATGACCACTCGTCTATCTGTAACTTTATCACATTTGTTTTTTACTTGTTCGAGATTCACTCATCCGATTTTTTGATAGTCTTCGTTGCTTATGACAAAGAAGAAGTCCAAATAAAATGAACTGAACAGACTCACTGGTAAACCTAAATGATCCTTCATGGTCAAGGGACAGCGCCTTCGTTGACTATTACCATTCGTCCGAGATTTAACTGATGAATTCGTTCAAAAATATACCATCCGGCAAAGTTTTAAAACGCTTTAGGGTAAAGAGGACTTCGTCAACCTGTCTCGTTTAGTTTTTCTATAGCACATACCCCTTTGTTTGTTGGGCATGTATTTGATCGTGTACGCGCTTAATTACTGACAACTCTTCAGAGCCGGAACTGTTTATTCATTTGTTCGATAAAGTCTTTTTTACTTCCTTTTTTGCCCGATTTTATTAAGCATTTTGGTCCTGTCACGTCTGTTTCTGATAAAACATGTGACAAAATTTTTTTGCCTGTCATTTAACCGCCGCCTTCCACCACTGCACAAATGTGATGGAGACTGACTACTAGTTAGTTACGCACACGTTTGCAGATCACCACTGGGTATGGAACTAAGGCATGACGTAACTCGTCTTTCCGGGAAATGGTCGGAAAATGTCCATGCTTTAAAATAGTATCAATATATTTTTCTTTAAATCAATCAATAATTTAGGCCGTGAGTGAGTTTACTCCGCACGGAGTTAAATCGCAGGGAAGATAAAATGAAGTGAGTCCATTATGAAATACAATTTTTGTAAGTTTTATTAAAAAGAAAGGTCAAGACTACATCAAACGCTAGTATTATGAACGAGCGAATTTCCTTTGCGCCTTCGTTCGCATTTGTACAAGGTTATTTAAGCATGAAGATAAACTTATGTGTCTTGATTATAAAACTGAACAGTCAGGCAAACGGAAAATAAGTCTATGAACTACCATATGTTTATTTTAAAAACGATCGGACGTTGTCTTTCGGTGATGCATGAATACCCACAGTTGTTCGGGCGGAAATATTTTGCTTATATGCATACGCATGTGCACATATTTGCATATAAACATCAAAAGCATATTCCATTAAAAAGTGGGTAAATAAAGCAGTGGTCAACGAAAATGTTTGTCCGTTTGCTGCCGATTTGTTACCAATGTTCAGTTCTCCGAAACTTGTCAAGTGCATTTTTGCCGACTTTCACAAACTTAAGCTCATACCGGAACATATGTTATCTTAAGGAATTATTTTTGCAGTTTTTTGCCCCATGCGTTTATGTCAAAGTAAGGATTTTGTAAGCAAAGTTTTTTTGGGCTTCCGAGGCATACACTTATTTTGTTTTCGATTATCTAGCTATAGGTCAAGAGTTATTTGTAAAATAATTTTGATTAATACAAAACACTTTTCTTGCGTAACGGTATTAATGGACTGTTTTTAGAAGGAATAGTGATACATTACTCTGTTCCATAGAATAACGACTATCGCCAAGAAAGCTGCAGTTGTGGGTCATATCAGACTTAGGTTAGACTGACTCCCTCGGAAATCAGTCTGGTTAAGCCATTACCCGTCTCTCGTGTCCGTCAAGTTTCAAGGCTGTCAAGGACACAAATGTTGATTAGTTCAACCGTAGGGCGTTTTTGGAGACATGCAATACGGGAGATTAAATTCAGAAAAACACTTTCCAAGGAGTGTAAAGACATGATTTAGCATATGTCCTATGGGGCCTCCGGTTTATGAAAACGAAGAAAGGGCAACGAGTCAATATTCGTGGAATATTTTGCCTTTTTAAGCAAACAAGAGATTTTCAGCCATAAATAAACGCATATATATGAGATGGAGCCGACAAGGGAGACCGGAATGGCTATTTCTGGCTTATTAGCCGTCATCAGCCAGTCATACCCAACCCTAAGTGTGGATCACTTGAGATTCGAACCCGGGATCTTTGGTCATGGAGTTTGACGCTCTACCATTGAGCCACGGGCCCGTTGTCCTGTCGGTTGTGCGACTGCCTGCGAGTTGTATGCGTTTTCAACGTTCTTATAAATCCAAGTATATTTTATGGAACACATAGTTAAAAATATCTCTTCTTGTACTGGTTCGGTAGCAAATCATGATTTATTAAAACTATATGCTTGAATAAAGGGTATGTGCATAAGTGACGAAGAAGAGGGATCGAGCACCGGAACATTTTGTTTGTTGTCCTGAGCTTCCGAACTCGTCTGAGATGTGTCTTCGATTTGGAAAGATTACTTAAGAAGGGTCCTAAGATCAACTATCGCACAGCACAATCACAGGATATTTCAGTCACGTGAGGATGCCGGCTTTTAAACAAGCTTCTTTTCGACCGCGTGCAAAAACTATAATCTGTAAAAATGACTAGTTAAACGATGTGCATTTTTCCCATTGGTTTTCGATGTCCATATATATATTTAAGTCTTTGTCGGTATCACCTTATCAACATA